AAATTGACATGTGTGTTGTTTTGAGGTTAGTTTTCCCAATATTCATTTAATTCTGCGAAATTAGTAATTATTAAATAATTTATATTTATTTTGTTTTATTTTTATTATTATCTATATTATGTTTTGACTTCGCAGTATTGTGCTCTGAGGAGGCTCTGCGTGTCAGAGCGAAAGCTTAGCGGAATTGTCGATGTAAATCGATAAAATAAATTGTATGGATCAGACGAATAAAAAAACTATAACATCTATTATTAAAAATTAATAATTAAATTAATTAAATTAATATTAAAAATCTGAATTTGAGGTTATTGTTTTTGTTTATTAACAGCAGTTAATTTGCAATATTCTAAGTCATACAAGATACACGACTTTACACTACACCTCTTTTTCCAAGAAGTTTCCAGGAAGTTTCCACTGGAAAGTTCGCATGTTTCCAATGCAAACTTCCTGGCAGCTTCCTGGGAGTTGTAAATGTCCTCACTGTTTAAAGTTCACGAGGAAAACTTTCTGGAAGTTTCCAATATAAATTTGATGGAAAATTGCACTGGAACTTTTTAGCAATATTAAAGTGTAAACTTACAGGAATGTTATTTTTTAATTTTCTAGGAAATTACAAGGAAATTTTCCTCAAAATTAATTTAAACTATAAATATAGTTTATATGCATAATAATCATATATATTAGTTTAATATTAATATATTATAATTAATGATAAAGTTAATAATACTAATAATGAAAAAAATAATAATAAAAATTATAATAATTATTATTAATATTATGTGTTTGAAGTTAGTACTGATTTAATAAATAAATCTATTTGAAAAATTTTATTTTTAAAAATTGAAAAAAAACCAATTATAATCAAATCTTAAGTTTGGAGATTTCAACATTTGATCACAGAAGTCTTTAGAGGTGTAACCTAACGAAAACAATTTAGAAAATAAATTTGAGGGGACTGGGGATCGAACGCGGGTCCAAAAAACGCAAACGCAATACCTAACCGATCGAGCTAAACAAGTAACTGCGGTTGGAAAAAAAATCTTGCCCTTAAGGTACAAGTAATTTTATTGGTTGAGGGGACAGCGCGCGCTTTTTTGAAATAAATATACTTTCAAAACGTAAAATATTTTTGAAAAAAAGATCTTTGAAATAACGTTCAAAAAATACTTCAGATTATAAAAATTAGATAATACATATTTTGTATTCTAATAATGATATTTAAGTAAATTTAGAATAGAATTTTGAAAAGTGTTACATTTGAACAATAATAATTAAGTAATTAATTGAATAAAATTTATTTTCAATAAAAATTAAATATATTAAAGGCCTGACTTGAAAGAATTTCTAAAATATCTTACCTAATGTTAATTGATTAGTATAATATAAAAAATTATTGAATTAAATTAATTTAAAATTATTTAAATTTCATATTTAACTTACGAAAATACTATTATTAAATATTTTTTATTAAGTAATTATTTTTTATTAATTACAAATAAGAAATAAGATATTGTAAAAATAAAAAATGACTTTTTTAACTCTTTGAAATTAACAATTATTATTCTGTTGTCAAATTTTGCGATTTAATAAATTATTAATATTTTTTCAATTATTTAAATAACAGCATTTTATTAAATGGTCACTTTTATTGTGAATAAGACAATTGTTTTAAATACATAAATAGGAAATTATTATAATTTATTAATTGTTTGATTTACTGTGTTATTTTACATTGCTATAATAATAAAAAATATTTGTAATTAAATATTTAATAATACTTTTTTCTTAAATTATATATGAAATTTGATTAATTTTAAATTAATTTAATTTCATAATTTTATTATATTAATCAAATTATTGACATTAAGAGAGATACATTCACGGAGCTGGTGAGTTTTAGTTCGTACGCCCCTGACGTTCTGGTAATAGATTTCCATGAATGAATGAGACTTGAAAGAAGGGGACGTACTTATGACACAATTGGGAGGAGTCATATAGGATTGGAAGTCGACCCGCCCACTTGCAAAGTGACAGTGGTCGTACGTCTCCGGGGGGGGGATCTTGATGATAGTGGGGACTCCACGACGATAAACCATTGTAATATTCGTCTCTCCCTCCTGTCGACGTATCATGAGCTGCTCCTGAACATCCCGAATTTCCCCTCTCTGCATCGGCGTCTTGTCGGTTGTTAAGGACAAGTTTTTCAATTTCGAATCTAGGGTCGGGTCCCTTTTTGCTGCTATAAAGGACCTCAGTATCACTTGTGCCTTCTCCTCCGACACACACACTAACTTCACAGGACGAGGCTTCCGTGAGACCTGCGCATTAGAACCTATTCTATATACTCGACATCCCTCAAGATCAGAAGCTTTAGAAAAATCTTGTAATGTACTGATCACTTGTGATTTTAAACTATCAGTAGGTACACTGGAGGTTGAGGGAGCATTATTGACCAAGTTATTCTCAGGAAGACCAAACAACACGAGATTCTTCTTTCTTTCACTTCTATCAATGATTTCATTGATACATACATTGGTGTCAGTTTTGTGGTCAATGTTTTCGGGAAAGTTCGTCTCACACCTAACAAGTCTCCCCTCCACATCCAACATACGGTTAGATAGATCTGTTACCCTACCTTCCATGCCTGTAAGCCTTGAGAGCGTATCGTCAAGTTTGACATTGATGTCTTCAAAATTCCTAATCAAAGTGCTGAAATTATCTGAGACTGTTTGTGTCAGTTTATTGACTGCACTCATGATAGCATCTAGACTAGTTGAAGATTGAGAACTCTGAGAATTTGCTGATGGAGATGTTGACCTAGGCCGACAACATCTAGCGAACGAACCATCAGATATAGTAGGCAACTGCATTGCACAACTTGGATGGTAAGGCAGGTTGCATCCAACACAATGGGTGGGAGTTGCACGTGCAATATCTTTGTTGCTCTTTGCACATTTCACAGCTTGATCCATTTTGCTCACACACAAATAAGAGGAATACTCCAAAACAAATGCCAGAAAATAGCACAACACAAAAATTTCAAATTTTGCACACACTAGGAAGGGCAAAACCGTTGTAATGGAAGTGAGGTTAGAAATGGATAAACTCAAAAAACAAGTGTACATAAATGATAAACAACAAGAATAATTGTTGATAACAATTCCAAAAAATCACATAAACGATAAAACACTCAATATATAAATAAAAGATAACTAAGTCGCTTAAACTGAACTATTTATTGCGGAATTAAGCACAAGCATGTGCATAAAGTAGCCACCTAGCGGCGAAAAAAAGCCGATATTTAAATATTTGGTTAGATCAAAAATATTATTTTAATATTGGGATCTGACATGGGGGCGGGGCCTAAAGCAATATGGCGTAAATTGGGTAACACTTTTAGTGAATTTACATGGGAATAACATGGGATGCATGTTTAAAAATCGTTTTTAAAATCGTTTAAAAAATATTGCTTAATTTAATAAATGTATAAGTGAATTTTTTTAATACAAAATTACTATTTATATTCCTATTTACAAACATGAATAAAAATATAAAAGAAATCTTATTTTTATACAAATTATTTTCTCAAATCCAGCGATACTTGTGCAAGAAAAGTATTGTATTTTCCTTTATATTTCATGTAATTATATGAAAATTTATAAATGTATGTATTTCATTTTTCATTGTAAAAGTCTGTTAACAAGAAGTGAAAAAAAAATTTATTTATCCGTTTTTACAGTGATAAATTAACTTTCAAAATGTTCACATGCACGGGTAATATGAAAGATTATATAACCTCCAAATTTTAAAATCTTAAACTTACATGGCAAAATGTAATCACTTCTTTTGAAATGCAGAGAACATACTCTCATAGAAGGCTTTATACTGTTTATTTTTAAAGCATTTTTCCAGGCCTTTAATTGATCGACTTTTTCAAAATTATCGAACGTATTTTTCACATCCACTACTCGTTGTTTTGGTTTCGGAAATTTATGAAAAATTACGCTTAAATTTTCCGCTACAGTACTGTCACAGCCTCTCACAGAACACTTAATTCTGCAGGAAGATTTCTCACGCGTTAAAAATGTAGCTTCATTCATAATGATAAAATAATTAACAATGATAGCGGAAATACAATTGCAAGTGACACAAACAGTTATCCAAAACTAGTTACATTTTTCAACACCAGATGGCATGTGTACGAATGTCAGATCCCAATAATAAACTCTTCAAAAATCTGTACTTGTAAACGCATCAAAATGTTAAGAACATTTAGAAGATAGTGAATTCTTTAATATTTCCTTGAAACTTACAAAAATTAATTGAAGTTATTAATAATTTTATTTATTCCATTAGAGGAAATAATAAAGTCAATTATAATTAAATTTTGACATTGTTACAAAAAAAACAATTTCATTATTTATGCATTTATTATCATTATTTTTTTTCTATCAGGGAGAATATCCTCTCCTGATTTAAATTATATCAAAAAAATTTATTCTCTTATTACTTATTAAAAACGAGAAAAGAAAAAAAAATTAAATAATTTTCCTTTTTTTCTTTTTTTGCAATCAAGAACTGAATACACAATTCTATTATTTTCATTCAATGACTTCAATTTAATAGAAGGCGGCGATGACTCAGCCAAATCCTTCTTTTAAATTATTTTTAATAAATGAAACTGATTTTTATTCAAATAAAAAAAAAAAAATTTGAGGTTAATTTTGATTCTCTTTTTTTTATTTTTGAAAGGAATAATTTATTTTAGCACCAGAATATTTTATTCAAAAAAATATACAAAAGTTAATTATTTAATTACCCGCGGAGAAGGGGGAGGTAAGGAGAAAAACACATTAATTATTTTACTGAATTTAATTTCACTGTAATATTTATTACAGTGAGTTCAAAGTATTTAACTTAATGATTAATTTATTAATTTTAATGACATTTAATGAATTTAATTAATGTACTAGCGACGTATTCCTCGCTCGCTACCGCTCGCTCGGGTGAAGTTTATCCATATAATACGAACAGAATTTATAAAATTTCGTTATGTTTTTACGTTTAATGTAGCGGTTAAGAAATAAGTATAAAAATGTAAAAAATATTTACAACCGATGTAAGAAAATACAAACCAATATTATCTTCATCAGATATGGAATGAATAATACTTGTTTCTCCATGAATGGCTGAAACATTAGGAGAAAATATTTGTAAATCATTCTGAAGAATACTACTATTCACCATAAAAGATGATAATGGAGTACTAGTATACATAAAGAATTCATTAATGGAATGCATACCAGTCGTTGCTGTACAATCTTCTTCATCATCATTTTTCCTCGATTTCGAATCTAGTAATTCTGAACAAAAAAAGAAAATCTTCATTATTTACATTTCTTTAAAAAATACCTTTTTTCATGAAAGAAACAATGAATTTTGTTTATTATTATATTTCTTTTTTATTACTACTTTATTTATATTTCAATATTATTATAAATTTATTAATAACAATTAATAAATTTTTTAAGAATAAATGGACAATTTATTTCTTATAATTGCATTGAAATAAAGAAATGAAATATATACCTTTCTCTACATTTTTCTTGAATTTTTTTGCAGCATTCACATACACATCCAAAGAATCATTAGAGTCACTTTCTCCTACGAAATTTAATGATGTTAAACGGTGTAATCATATTATTAATTTTTAAATTATCAAATTCTTTTTTCCTTTCTTTTGCTTCCTCGTGGAGAAAGCTTTGTAGTCCTTTCGTTTATAAAACTTTTCAAAGTGGCGGAAACAAATTTTTTCTTTATAGAAACATGTTGTATGAGATCCTAATCAATTGTCCGGATGTATGTATGTGTGTGTGTGTGTATGTGTGTGTGTGTGTGGATCCCTTTTTTGTTTAGAAGATAACTTTAACAGGTTTTAATGGATTTAGATAAAATTTGGTAGGCTCATTTATCATATTAATATCTCAAATCTGACCAAAGGATTTTAAAAAATACCCAAAAAAAAAATTTTATCGTCTTTTTTCCAAAAATTTTTTTTAATCGAAAAAATTTTTAAATAGAAAAATTTAAGGTTATATATAATAAAATCGTATTCCTTACGTCAAGACGAATCGATCGATATATATAAAGTATACATTTGAGGTAAATTTAAAGAATTAATAAAAGTTAAAAAATCAAAAATTCACATTTTGGCAATAAATTTTTGCTTTCTCCACGAGGAAGCAAATTTTTTTGCTGATCGTAAAGAGGAAGCAAAATGTTCATGTAATGAACATCTAAATTTACAACTTGTTAATATTTATTTTGTAAATACTGTAACATTTTTCAAAAATTCCCAAATTATAAATAAAATATACAAATAAATTCATATGAAATGCATGATATTGCATTTATATATAATCACAATTATTGTTTTCTTGTATTTAGTAAATTCTAATTTACGAACAATAATGTCTTACGTAGGGAAACATTTAAACACAAAATTTTTTATATATACACAATTAGTTGGATTTAAAATGAAATTATATTAATTTTTGTAATTCCTTTCTTCCTCTAAATATTGTAAATAGTTTAAATCCAAATAAGTCATTACATTACATATAAAAATGTTATTATTACTTGTTTGCGATGAAACATCTTGATCCTGACTTCTTGTCCGCATTCTTCTTTGTTTTGTAACTTCATTTTCTTGAGTAAGAAGAGAAAAAAAAATGATCATTAATGATGTATGACAATATGTAAAATGTTTAAATTCTTAATTTGTATTATTATATAATATACATTCAAATTTGTTTTTTTGAATTATTATTTTTCTAAACATTAAAAAATGTCAGCCAAAATAAATATAATGTTATTATTTTCATACCATTTATTGATGATATATTTTTTCTTTTATTAATTCTGCTGGACAGTGAAGTATCATCTTCATCTTCCTTTTCTTTATTAATTTGTCTGTTTTTTTAAGTGGTTGATAATTCTTCTTCTTACTTTTTCTTACTTCTTCCTCTGTAGAAATGAATCGTAAAGTAAGTAATAGATTCAAAATTTGTTAATTATAATGTTCAATTGATATATATTTTGTAAGTTACGGAGGTACCACGTATTATCGAATAAACAAGCAGTTTTTGGTAAAACTTGATACACTACTAAATAAAGCTTCTAAAATTCTGTAGTTAAATTTTTGAGACCTGTAGGTTCCGGAGAAAAAAGTTCTGATCGATTTATTTTTTCACTGTTTAACATTGATTCTTATGGGAATTCATTACTTTGTCACATATATTTTCATACTATGAAATATTAAACAAACAGATGTTGATCAAAGTTTGTATAGTTAAAGACAGATATGCAATGAACCGGTATTGTATTTAAAAAAGGACAATAGGTTCCTGTGAGAGTTCAAAATAGTTCATTTATAAATTTTTTTTCCACTTTTTGTGATACAGAAAAGATAACTTGAAACATCTGGCAACACGGCATTTCGCGTCTTCACGGTTTCCACCGTGCGCATGCGCTTGTCAAAGTTTTGAGGTTATGCGCGCGTTATTTCAAATTTTGATTTCTGGGAAAAGAATAAAATGTTCAAATTAAAAACTGAAATTCTATTAGTTAATAAAATTTGTATTATTAACTTGAAAAATATGACAAACACATAATATTTTTAGAAATTAAAGCTTATAAATAAAATAAATCATGGAAAATAACATATGTGACCTGGACAGTTAAAAGGGACCTTTTGTCCGAAAAAATCGATTTTTTATTGATTGGTGTTTCTGATAGAGAAAACTTTTTTCTATCAGAATCACCAATCAATAAAAAATTAATTTTTTCTGACAAAAGGTCCCTTTTAACTGTCCAGGTCACATATGTTGACAACGTACATAACGTGAGTTGCAGTGTTGCCAGACGTTTCAAAATACCGAGCAAGTCAAATCAGACAAAAAAGGTTATTGCTTTGACTAGTTCTGTGAAGGGATGGAACCTCTTTAAAGTTCCTTTCTTAATAAAAACAAAGTTATTAATTCTTACTTAATATTATACTTTTTAATTAATAGAAAATGCAATATAAATGTAATAAATGAAATAAAAATATTTATTTTTTATCTTTTTTTTTGATAGATTTAACTTTTCCATTAAAATTCTAAGAATTCTATTAATAATATTATGTACCTACCGTCATCAGTTTCAGAGAAATCTGATATATCCAAATTTGTTTTTGTACTTTTTAATACTGTTTTTTTCCTTCTATATTTAACCTCTCGTCTTTTAGAATTAGTCGTGTTGCCTTCTATTTTTGGTGTTTGGGCCTTCTTCAGTGATATTTGTTCATTTAAATTTATATTCAAGTTGGAAATGACAAAATTTTTGTCAAGTTCCAAATATGGTTCTTTTTCATTATCTCGAAATATTTGCTGATACTCCTTAATTCTAGGAAAACGTTTAAAATAATTTCAATTAATGTACATGTATAAAAAAATAAAAACAAATTAACTTTAAAGATAAATAATAACTACTTTATTTAAAAACGTTATTTCAAAATGAACGTAATGAAAAATAATGCAAAAATGTAAAATACTTACAATCTTCTTCTCACAAATTTCATCACTTTTAATAAATCATGACCATCTAAAGGATAATCGTCTAGAGTTGTTTCTAATGTTAAATGAATTCCTAAATTGCTTCTTCATATAAAATTTCTAATTAATTTCATCATGATCTTGTCCATGGTCTTATCCTCCAAATGAAAAAACCACCTCATGAAAAGTAACACATTCTTGTCCGTGACTGATTGAACATTTTTTGAATTTATTCCTTTATGTGACAAAAAGCTGAAGGAAAAAATTATTACGTTTACTTATTATCATTACTTTGTAGGAAAACATTTCGTTTAAAAAATTTTAATAAATTAAAATTAAATACATGTACATGAAATAATGTTATATTAAAAAGTAAGATGATACGTACAATTGAAAGACATATCGTATTGCGATATGTATAGACAATCGCCATTTTGGGTAGTCTTTGAAATTTTCAAAATCACCAAAACTATCAATGTATTTCCCTAATGACATTAATCTTGCGGGTTTCACATCGCCTGAAATTCTTAACCCTTTTTGAACAATAGTTTTTAAAATTCAATATTCTTGGAATCAAAAGTTTCTAAATTTTGCAAGTAGTTATGGAGGAATATGATTTTATCTGGATTTCGATCAAAGTATCCCGAATCGAAATTCGGGGTACGCGAAGCTTCACTTTTCATCAATTTCAATGTTATCCAATACCAAAAAAACTAAATGGATTGAAGTATTTTTTATATGAAACATTTAAGAGAACCAAAAGAAACAAATATCTTTTATACCAATATTATGCAATATCCATATTTTATGCATAAAAAATTATTCAATAATCAATGTTTTATCTTCAAAATACATATATATAATTATTATTAATACTATACAAAAATAGGAATATATTTTTTGGGCCCAATACAAAAATGAAAAAGACAAATATAATATAAGAAGATTCAACACATGCAGTAAGTTATTGATCGACAAATTGCAGAAAAACATTGTAAACTATATAATAATCAAGTTAAGTTACCTGAGACTACTAGAAGCTTTTTTTAGCGACACTACTACAATGTTGTTGCAACGGTAGACGGTTGCTCTATGTTTATCTTACATCAGCAGTAGCCGTTTCACTCCATTGAGGAGAAGTGTTATACCCCCACTCTACCAACCCGGGCCTATGTTAAGTTTTCGCGTGAGGCAGATATTACGGTAGGCGTCCTCGGGGATAGGTGTTGGTAAGTTAAGTATGGATTCACCACTTCCACTCACGAGAATTAAATGGTTATCATCTATATCACATATACAATAATAAAAATTTTTCCCTCAACCCAAGGCTGTTTGGACGAGTCGAGCGATCACGGATTGGTCCTGTAAAGGGAAGTGGTATACCTTCACTCTATCGGCCTGTCCCGGGCTCAGACCTCGAGTAAGTCAATTACAGCGGTGGGCCTGTGTGGCGTTCTTGGGCTTGATGACAATATTATTTTATGACGCTTAATGAGTTTTTCAAAAAAATTATAAAATTTTTAAATATAAACATTGTTTAATTTATTTTGATATATTCGTTTTCCTCAGAAGTTCACGATTACGAGGATATATTGCTCCAATAATAATAAATGTTAATAATCAAAAGTTTTATAATTTTAGTTCAATTCAATAAACCTACATGATGTGTTGTAAATCGATTTAACCCAAAGGTGCTGGCACCAAAAATTTTCTTCTTGCTTTTTATTCTCCAGTACATATAACCACATTCCCACACAGCACAATATATTGCTGTAAGCATACCTCAAGCTAACATGTAATTTTTGTAAGCTAACCCTGTAAGCTTCAGGTAAGGTCGAGGTAATATAAAAATGTCCGCCATACAGTAAGCTTACACAGTAATGCCATGGTAAACTTACATGGTAAAGTCATGGTAAGCTTAAACGGTAAGATTACTGTAAGGTTACAGTAAGCTTACACGGTAAGCTTATATTAATTGCTAACAAATAACAAAGTATTAATTTATCAACTTGCAGTAAACAATAAATTGTTTTGCACAATTATATTTATTTTGTCATTTATATAAAAAACCCCGGTAGGGTTTGCTTAAAAAAACTTACTGCGCATTCGTAAGTGCCATAGAAAGCTACTGCGCATAAATATTTTTAAAAAATTATTTATTTATACCTTTAAAAACTTGCCGTGTAAGCTTACTGTAACCTTACAGTGACTTTGCCATGTAAGTTTACTATGGCCTTACTGTGTAAGCTTACTGTATGGCGGACATTTTTATATTACCTCGACCTTACCTGAAGCTTACAGGGTTAGCTTACAAAAATTACATGTAAGCTTGAGGTAAGCTTACAGCAATATACTGTGCTGTGTGGGTTGTGATTGTTCGAACCGGGCTGGTAAAGTGGGGGACACAACTTCACCTTTCAGGACAGTATTTAAAAGGTCATCGACCATCTTACTAACCCTCAACCGAAAGCTGTTTTGACAAAACAAATTTCAGGTAGAAACCTTCGAGAACCCTAATTATCCAAGTAAAGATATATATGTATGTATAATCTAATAATAATGAGAAAATTCAAGTACTAAGAAAATGTGAATGAATGAAGGAATGAATACAAAGATTATTATTCTATAAATAATAATAATAATAATAATAATAATAATAATATTCAAGTGTTTCTTTGGAACAACTTTTGAATTAATCCGCCGTTTTAGTCAACCACGTGTTAACCAATGGGAGATCACTTGCAGCTTAAGGGAAAGATTTTTTTTCTATCCACACTTGGTTAGTTAGGTTAGTTGGTTAGGTTGTTTCTTTATGCCCGCGAACCCGTGTTCAATCCCAAGTCACTCCAAATTTATTTTCAATAGTTTCTGCGTTAATGTTGTGAATAAATAAACAGAAGTCGAGGCAACAATGTAAGAAAGAAATGAAATAAGTAATTATTTTTTATTTTATTTTCATTAAATTTATAAATATTATTTTTATGTTTATTAACTTGAATAATAGTGACGGGTATAATTTGAGAGAAAATTCTTCGAAACTAACAATTTAAAATTTTATGAAATTTCCTCTGCACTTTTCCGGGTTTACTCCTATAATTTTCTGCAAGTTAACCGAGGAATTTAACAGGAAGTTCCCAAGGGAAACTGCCGAACCTAAGACATTATTAGATTCAGGGAAGTACACAAGAAGTTATCCGTGGAAATTTACGAACCTACCTAAGACAGTTTCCTGGAAACTTCCTGGAAATAATGGTGCTATGTGGGCCCCTTCTTTTAGGTATAAAAAGTTTGAAGTAAATGAAATAAATTTTGTATTAAATAAAAATGTTTATGAAAAGTCATTGAGATGTGGTATTAAGCCCTTAACCTTACCTTTAATTT